CGATTATGGAGGCGCTAGCAAAAAGTTGGTATCCAGCAGCTTTAGACCACAAACTGGATCTCACATAGCTGCACATTCTTTCCTCCTCTACAGCTCGTTGGAGCCAGCATCAGACTTACAATAACTACACTATACCTACATTCATTAAAAAGTTTGCCTCTGTCAGTGAATTTAAAACATTTTCCCATAACCCAGTGTAACCAGCCCTATGTGACGTTACATTACAGTGTCAGGCAGCCTGGGTGGAGGTGATGAGAGGCCGAGTTAGAGTGAAAGCTGGTTTGCTGCCTCACTCTGCTGCATATCTTTGAGGAACTGGCTGAATATGAGCTCCCTCCTCTCGGCCCTCTTGCTCCAACAAATCCCCAGTAAAATATATGTGCAAGTCAAACATATCGATGTGTAGTATTCAGGCCATTCACATCAGCCTGCAACCTTAATACTACCAAGAAATCCTTTTCATACACTACATCATGATGAAAACTTATTGCCACTGCCAAGCTAAGACTAATTTGCTCCAGTGGGGCTACTCACTCAGACTGTGGTTGTACTGGGCAGCTTCCAGGTGTGAACGTGTTGGACTGTGCGAGCAGCAGGGCGTTACTGGAAAGAGCTTTCAAGCTCAGTTACTATGAGTAAATAAAGACTTAAGACCCATACATTATGTATATACTGTGCATTTACTGATCCACACAGCTCAACCAACAACCAGTAGGCAAAGAAAATATCCTTTTTACTAAACCATGTGGTTCACTACTAACTAACACAACTTCCTCACTGAGCTGAGTGTGCATGATTTGTGTGGCCACTTAATGTCTGGCAGGAAACTTGTTATCATCACAGACAAATCATCAAGCTATTTTACAAACAGTTTCAGTTGCACCATTAAAGCCATTTTACTGTCACAAAACCAGATAATGTATGTGGGTTTTTTTTTTTCCAGCACAGTTCTTCACATCCTCCTCAGTCGAGGGCCTTGTTCGTGCAGAAAAACAAACTACACTGACATGCAAATGCACACCAGAAGTAATTTAAAAGATTAATATGAGATTGAGTTGAGGTAAGCTTCAGATGTCAAAAGCAAAACTATAAACATAAAGTTAAATAATATAGTTTTTAAAAATACTTTATACAATGTGAAACAGAAAATAGAGGAACAATATAAAATACAAGAGGCAGTAAATACAAGAAATGAAGTGTTATGTTTTAAATACTGAACTTAAATGGGGCCTATTATGCTCATTTCCAGCTCCACTAGAGTAGCTTTGCATAATTCACTCTTCATTTATCTTATACTACTACTACTACTTATACTTCACGTAGCCCCTCAGTTCATCCTCTGTCTGAAACAAGCCGTCTCTTTAAGC